TGGAGTCTCAGTAGGCGTTCAGAAATCATCAGTTGAGCTGCTGTAAACATTCCATAAACATTCGGGGGGATACTTGACTTATTGTATACATTCTAGTAATTTCGATGGTCATAGTGTTCCTGCGGTGACTACAACATGCGCGCGGGAACAAATTCATGCGAATGCCGAAGAGTTGCTTGCCATGCCTGTAGAAATTGACCATAGAGCAAACCAATACTACAGTGAAAGTCAAAATTAGAAATTTTGAATGACTTAATACACTAAAATAAATTTGATGACAAGCGCGGGGATTTCCGTTGAGTGTGGTGTGGGCTAATTTTTGATTCCTCATATGTTCATTCTGATATTCGTTTATGTTGAAGCATGGAATAATCACTTCACATTGTTCTTGAGCATTCGATTTCCAAGCCTTTTTTTTCAAAAACTCCATCCTCATCTGTACCGTCATCCTCGCCCTGATCAGTTTAACTCCTACATTTTACTGATCCTTTCATAGTGTCTATAACTGAGTAAAGCGGGCGACGAGAACTCCTTCAAAGACACAGTTTTTCTGGCGTTACGTAGCAGTGACGAACCGCCCCGCTATCTGCTTTATAGGGGCAGCGTTATCTGTGAACCGGCAGTCGTTATTTCGACCCCGTTCTGGCATTTTGCATCGAACGCAAAGTCGCACCATGCCTTCCCAGTACTTCCATAGCTCTGCTGCAAAAGCCCGTACTGCAAGTGACATCGCCCGTATTCGCGTACGTTCCACACCTACCAGTCCACTACCGTCTGCACTGCGATCATCGAATGCGGATTCGTGGAAATTTCGTTCGTGGTCGTCTCGAGGTTCTGGAGTTCCACTCTCCAAGGCAAGAGCCAGGCTTGGAAGATCGGTAACGATAGAAGATCCAGCCTACTCTCCGTCGAGACCCGAACGTCTCGTTTTGCCTGATAGTGATGACGAATCTTTGCTGGATACCATTCATGAAGACCACAAGTACGAGGATTCTGATACTGACGAGGATCTAGTGTCTAGGTTTGTTCTACACTGCTTGCTTCGCGCTTTTCAGCAGATTACCGTAGCAGACTTAGTGGTCAACAGTGCTCCTGCGGTGACGGCAACATTTGCGCGGAAACAAATGCCATTGAATGCCGAAAACTTGCTTGAGAGCTCGTAAAAAGCGTTCGCGCATGCTTTCGGAAACGCAAGAACGTATTGACCTTGAACTTACAAAAGTATCAAAGTTCTCTTGACTTTTTACAAATAATGCGATTTGGGAGTTACTATAGTGCTCCTGCAGTGCGGATAATTGCTCCTAAAAAGCAAAAAGTGGCTATGGGGCGCACATTTTCGAGTTTGCCTACAGTTTCAATTTTTTCACGCGCAGGTTGTCGGCAACGTCAGAGCACTGTTAAATTCAAACGACTATAATTGAATGCACAATTAAAACCTGTCTAATTGCTATTTTTCACCTGCAGAAAACT